TTGTATAAATATATATAACGTATGAATTAATAAATCATCAATTATTGTTTTTTTTAATGACATGCAATAAAGCCAGTTTTCTACAACTAAATTTTTTTCTCCATTAATGTCATATTGTTTAATCATTTTTTCCTTTGTTTTCCCTAAATGCATTAACATTGCAATTGTGAGCATTACTATTTATGCATATTAAAAAAAGAATAATAACATTGTATTGGACGTGTGTGTGTGTCTGTGTGTGTGTGTGTGTATTTATTTACATATGGACCTGCCCAAATAGGGTACTTTGGCGTTGTGGCAGGCATATGCAGTTTATGACCATATACCATAATATAAACTGTGACTAAACCCCCATTATTTTTGCCTAAGTCAGGTGTGTAAAAGAATAAAAACTCTTGCATTCTGTTTCTGTGAGCTTTGAAGTTGCTGTTTAGTGAGTCCGCTCAGTCTTGTATGTTATATTTATTTACATATTGATAATATTTACAAATTAGCTCAAGGTAGCCCAAATCTATTCAAAAACACAGGTACAATAAATTAAGAATAACATTTACCAAATAAGAATTTAATCTAAGTGATCAGTGGTAACAGTACGGGAGCAGAACAAGGAGGAAACTAGTTTAATGTAAACCTGTTTCTATGGAAATGTAGTGTCTGCATTCTGATGTACAAAGAGTATTATTGACTAAAAGTGACATTCTTAGAAAATGAAAGTGAAGTTCAGATTGTATTCCTTTAGAGCCGAACTGAAAGAGACAATTTATGAAATGACTTTGCATTCAGTTTGAACTCCCAGTAATCCACTGTTTAGTAAATAGCCACTAGGTGTTTATTCCCTAGACATATTGATGTGAATCATAAACTGAATTGTAAACCTTTGGCAAAATCCTGCTATAATTACAAAATTTGCTCTTTTAGCTCCAGGATTGAGGGCAGAGAATGCATATCAGGGGTACGCTATAAGTGCAAATTACCTAAAAACTTGGGCAAAGTTGTATCTTGAGTGGGAACCCCTGACCAAATGGTAAATAAACCCTTTTAATGCTCATATAACTTCAATTTGAATAATGTACGATCATTTGAATCAATAAAATAAATAATTTCAGCAAATCCTGAAATTAAATGTCTGTGAATTGGTACAGATTTGCCCAAAAAAGGCTGAATTGCTCAGGATGTAATACAGAAACAATTCACAAACTGACCATCTCAAAAAATATATAAAAATATAAAAAAAGAAAAAAAAAAAGAAGCAGCTTCCTAGCTAAACACGCTGGTACAGCAGAAAAGGCAAAAGATTTAATCAATTAATTAATAAGAGTGAGTTACTCACCCTGTTTATGCTCACTAAATGAAGGGTTAGGTGGAGGGTAGATTTCTGTGTGAGTAGTCTTGTACAAATGATACCCTAATATTTACAACCAACGATGTGATAAGCATGGGGTTTTGGATCATTCCAAGCCATATTGGAACACCTCAATAATACACAACTGAATTACTAATGCTTGTGAGTGTGATGTATTTTATTTAAGAGAATAAGTTTCATACTTTCAGATTGCTAGCACTTAAGAAATGTAAAACACTGTTCTGGTTCATTGTTGTTGCCTGTTGTAATAATTAAATGTACCGGTCCCCCATGTATACACACTCCACCATCCCCTTCTCTAACAGAATCACTTGTTTTGGGTCTCTATAGGCACCCAGACCACTTAATGTCAGTGATGGATCTCATATAGACCATCTGATTGGAGCAATGCACTTTAGCTTCAGTAGTACATATTTGTATTGTGGCAGAACCGCTGCCTATTAGTGCATTTTCCCCTTTGTTTTATGTGTTTTCCCTGACTTTTGTGCAATATACCCTTTTTTCCCCGTTTGGGAGCATTCTTACGAACAAAACGCATTTGTCTCCCGAACGGGGACCACCCCGGGGCCTCATTAGAACATTCCCACCAATAAATCAGAACATTCACACTTGCAACATAAGTGTGAAACCGCAACGGTCGCACTTGCAACATGCAAGGGAAGTGAAACCGTACGGGAAGTAATTAATGAGTGCTCCCCTGGGTGGCTGCCATTTCATATAGACAAACACCAGCCAGGGAGAGCATTTGTATCCCGAAAGGAGACCCTTCAATTGCAGATTTCAGCACAGGAACCTCACGAACAGAGACTGGCTGGGGTTGGTAGGGACACTTTTGGGGCACTGGCTAATTTGGCGGGCTTTTCTGTGTCTGGGAGACAAAGGGATGATTTCTTTCCCGCATTTTGGCTCCCAGACACAGAGGCTCCTAGGATGAAGACCCCCTTGTCATCCTGGACGGGAGACCCCTCGCCTGAGTGGCGGAATTCCTAGACCTGGAAGACAAAGAGACAGCGACCCCTTTCCCATGCTTTGGCTCACAGGTGTAGAGGATCTTCGGATACAACCCCTGTGTGTTTGTGAAGTGAACCCCTTGCTTGGGGCTATGCATAAAAGCCAAGTGTGGCATAATAAAAGCGTGTTCTACTTCCAGAGTTGTGTGTTGTCCAGTTAATTGGGGAATGGCTGACTCACTGATCTAAGGGTTCCTAAAGGGGCTGAAGGAAGGAAATAACGGAGTTAACCAGTCGGGTTGCCCGTGGTCCGCTACATGTATAGTGTTCCTTTAAACAGTGTCATATGAATAGAGATGTCGCGAACCGTTCGCAAACTTTGCGCGAACGGTTCGCCGCGAACCGTTCATGGCGAACTCCGGTCAGCTGACACAGCCCAGCCAATCTCCAGCAGACCCTCCCTCCCAGACCCTCCCACCTCCTGGACAGCATCCATGTTGAAGCTGCCTTTCATTCGGCACCATGGACTCCAGGGATCACATGGTGCCATTTTCAAGAGCATGGCAGATCCGGGGTATGTCTTGTCCCAATAGGCGTTTGAGTGTCCTGGCTTCCAGTCCCGGTGGGGAAGCATCGTTGTGAACCAAAGGTAGCAGTGGAGATGGTGTGGTAGTGAGCAATAGAGGCGCAGTCAACGTGTGCCAGACCTGCATGGTCGCTCTGATGAGGGGGTGTGGAGGGGCCAGGTGCCTGCCCTGTTGGTAATCTAGCCAAGGGAGGACTGAAATTGGTCTGCCTATGTGTGATGTATCAGTGTCCTTCCACAGTTTGGTTACTCCCTGTTTGGTCCATTCCACTATTCTTTGAATGTGTGTGGCCCTGTGGTAGATCTTAAAGTCTGTTTTTAATTTTCAGTAACGTAAGAGCGTACTGTTTGATCCGCGCATTGAGTTTGTGCCATGTGAACTTAAGGGACATGGAGTGAAGAGAGGCGAAGAAGGCCTGCGGGATAGCGATGGAAATAGCCTGGAACAGATAAAGGACCCTTTGTAAGACGCTCATTTTAAGCACCCCGATCCTTCCGAACCATGAGAGACGGACCTTCGCCCATTCCTCCAGGTCTTTGTGTAACATGTTTAAAAGTGGCTGGAAATTACCTGGGTATAGTTGTGTGAGATCTTTTGTGATCACAGTGCCGAGATATATCAGGAAAGTGTCGGACCACTGGAAAGGGAGTTCCTGTTTTAGGGCTGTAGCTCTGGATTGTGGGACAGAGACATTAAGGATCGTGGATTTAGTGAAGTTAATTAAAAAATTTGACAGTGCTCCATATGTTGTGAACTCCTCCATAATAGCAGGCATGGAGGTTTCGGGCTCGGTGACGAAGAACAGCAGGTCGTCTGCATATGCCACTACCAAATGATTCTCCCTCCCCACCAGAATCCCTGGAATGTCGGGGTTGTTCCGTATCGAATTCAGAAAAGGTTCAAGGGCCAGGACGAAGAGCACAGGCAAAAGGGGGTACCCCTCTCTGGTTCTGTTCCGTATCGGGAAAGGTTCGGTGAAAGCCCCAGGCCTTAATCTTAATCTAGCTCATCATATAGGGCCCCATGCCCAGTGTCTCCAGTACTAGCAGCATGAACCCCAGTCGATTCGGTCGAAGGCCTTCTCTGCGTCCGTGGAGAGCAGGAGAAGGCCATTCCGATCTGCTTGTTGCCGTGTGATTGAGGGCGAGTGCCCGAATCGTGTTGTCTTGCGCCTCGCATTGCAGGGTGAATCCCACCTCGTCTCCGTGGACCAGGTCCGGGAGGAAGGCCTGTATTCTGTGTGATTGGATTTTAGTGAATCGTTTAAGATCAGGGGAGGGACCAGCGAGGCCGAGTCTCGGGAACTTAATGAGCGTGTGCTCACCTCTCGGTGGCTGCAGTGGGGTTGGTTTGGCACCTTTTGCCCCTGCAGACACCGCGGCCAAAATTAGCAACCAACAGTAACAACGAAAATAACAAGAACCAAAAACAAACAATAAGAAAGTACAAATTAAGACAAAAGGTGTAGGCAGGGTTGGAGTCGCCCCAGCCGCACCTGTTGGCTCAGTTGAGTCCCCCTGCCTTAGTCTATACACCCCAGTCAGGTGAGAGCGTGGCCTCTTTACACCTGACCATGACCTAGGCCCTGGTTCAAGGCACGGCGGCCAGCAGGACCCGTGGTGTCTCCCCGCGAGAGGGTAAAAGAATAGAAAACTCTCACATAAAAGGAGTCCCTGATGTCCTCTGACCCCCTCTGCCCTGAAGATAAAATGCCATTTTGAGTAGTTTCTGATAAGTGCAGAAGTTTCCCCTGTTCCTATGTGTTTAATTCCGTTTAAGAACCGGGGATTAACCTAGTGTTTGGGGGTTTATGTGTTGTTTCATAGTTGAAGGTTGTATGGGGGCAGTAAGTTAGTATGAAAATCCAGCGCACTCCCTTATCTACTAAACAGCTACTTTGGTGCTGAGAAATGTTTCTAGTTTTATTAAAAACACCTAATCTAGGCAAAAAAATAATGGGGGTTTAGTTACATTATATGATCATACATTGCATAAGCCTGCCACAACGTCAATGTACCCCATCTTTGGCAGGTCCTACACTACAAACCAACTGTCTACTAAATGAGCTACTCACTTGGGGAAATCCTTCCATCTCAAAATCTCTCAGCACCTAAGTAACAGTTTAGTAGATAAGGGAGTGCACTGGATTTTCATTTTTACTGTACTTATTGGCCCCCAGCAGCACCCCATTTAAGCATGTTCAGGTGAGTGCAGCCAGCCCCTTGTTTTCCCATATATATATATATTTAGGAGTCTAGCCAGCTCCTTGGTTTTGCACCCCTCCCTGTCACAGGTGCCTCATCTCAGGACCCTATTTAGCCTTGTACTGCAGAGAACTCGAGATGGAAGGATTTCCTCAAGTGAGTAGCTCATTTAGTAGACAGTTGGTTGGTAGTGTAGGACCTGCTAAAGATGGGGTACATTGACTTTAGATAATGCCATTAGGTGGATATCTCACACATCTCGGCCAATATTTGTTTAGAAATATATCGCTGAGATATAATTAATTAATTTCTTCATTTTGTTTTCACCTACGCAACCTGTGTAAACTCCAGAGGTTTATTCCCTCAGCGCCAATTATCATCATCTCAAAGAAATTATCTTAAATGATTTCAGACAGATGTAGTTGTCTGCCAATATGTCACTATTGCATCAATACTTAGAGTTCCTTGTTTTCCTGTCTGAGGAGGGGGTTGGGGGGATCACCCCTCTGGGAGCCCTGTCTGTCACAAGTGTGAGCTATGCAGAAATCACAAGTTTATAACTTACACTTACAGATGGAGAGGAACGCATGTTTGAACTTGTAATTTCTTCCACTTTAACTAGCTAAACCACAGTTCTAAGTACCAGGAAACGTTGTCCAGTCAAGCAAATCTAGGAGAAGCATAAAAAATAACAAATAAAATACTATTTATCTCTGATGGGACCATTTTATTGAATAACATATGGTGGATAAGCTTTTCTATGGCACCTATTCACCTGAATGACTGTTTTCTAGGTGAGTGCCGAGACTGGAAAATATACTCTGTACCAGCTCCGTGCTGGTTGTGGCTTTGGATATTGTTACTCGGGGGTACCTGGGAATGTGACAGCGAGCACTGTGTCTTAACTGTGATTGATCCTAGATCAGACCCATGTCCCTCCCCCCTCGTTTGTGCTGGACTATGCACATTAATTTCCAGCTCTATAATAATGTATAATAATTGTAATTAAGAAAGAGAAAGAAGCGTATGCATGTGATACAGGAGGGTTAACCACATCATTAGAGAATGCAAGATGGTGGCTCACATCAAAGTAACATGCAACGTAATCACAAGCTTGATAAGGTATAACGAGGACACCTTGCATTTACATATAGGTAGCAGGAGCACAGGAGACTGACCATTGTCACCTGTGACATGGAGAGCATTTCACTCATAAAGCTTTAGGAAAGAGCGTTAAAGCATTTGTATTTTGCGCTAACTAGGCCAATTCAGTAATGGGCTATCTGTTAAAAGTTAGTGCATTATATCTAATATATTGTTGTACAGACAAATTAATATGGGTATCAGGTTTTCTGAAATGCCAAGTTTTCCTACAATCACGCTCTAAGAATATTATTTAGGCACACAGTTGTGATAAACCGATTGACATACAGTGTTAGTATAAATTATGGTACAATCTGCACAAACAAATATTGCACAGATACAAGTTTATGCTCAGTAGAACCCTAATCTGAGTGTTAAATGCTGTTTGATTACTGTACATTTTACTGGAAAAAAAATAAAACCTACAATGTCCTCTCTGTCTACGTTAGTGCTTAGCTATTACTATGACACTACTACAAGTGTGTACATCTGATGAATGAGACTCTTGGAATATAAGAAAAGTAGTGCAAATTCTGTTTTTGTTATACTCTCCCATTGAGATGTTTCTCTCCCTACCCCCCAAAGCTGATGTCTACCATTATGTTCATCAAAATGAACCATGAATGACTTGTCAATCCTTTCCTTCTGTCAACAAATTGTACGGAAGCTTACTTGTACGACATAATTATTATTTAAACTTCACAAAATAAAGAATTTAAAAATAAATAATAGTGCGAAAGGCATTGGAGGCTGCACTTGGGTGAGATTGCTGTAGTATCATGGCTGCCCTGGATTCCATTGGGAGCAAATCCATAATTATGCTGTCTGCTTTATTGGAAGCTTCTTCTTGAAGGAGGAAACCCTGTTCAACCCCTTCTTTCTGCTGATAACATCTGTGTAGAAGGCACAAATATGTTTTTAGCCAAATATTTGTATTTTTTATGTTATGGCTGAAGGTCAGAAGCCAGGAATGAGTCCCTATGCTATTTTAATGGCTCCTCACTGGTTAGACAATTACCCACAATAGGGCCCCTCTAGCTCCAGTGAATGACTTTGGCAGAATTTGAGCTTTCCAATGTTGTCAATAAGTTTTACTGAGCAGTTGTTACTGTCTAAAGTAGCTTTCTAACCAGAGCTAGTATTGACAGTTTCCAAACTGCAAAATTATACCATTGGAGAACTGTGACTCAAAATCAAGTTAACAATTACTACCTCCCCATGCATCCCTTAGAGAGAGCTGCTCACATACACTCACAGAAACTACTTACTCACATTATCTAAAGCAAATACTATTAAACTAAAAATGCATTGGGAGGGAGGGGGGTGGGCAATAATACTGGGTAGTAGCCCATCCTACAACCCTTTTTGGCAACTAAATGAAGCTTAATCATTCGAGCCTATATTATTAACTGGGCATCTCATGGATTTAGTGTACATTATTTGGATTTGTGTAAAAAAAAGAAGCCCTGTTCTACAAGGAGCCGCTTTTAGAAGATCTTTTTTTCTGTTGGGATACATTGTTTCATTTACATGCCACCCCTCTGTAATTTTGAATCGTCATCCTTTTGTACTCATTTCTTAAAGGGACACTATAGTCACCAGAACAACTACAGCTTATTGCATTTGTTCTGGTGAGTAGAATCACTACCTTCAGGCTTTTTGCTGTAAACACGTGTTTACATTACAGCCTAGTGATAACTTCACTGGCCACTCCTCAGATGACTGTTAGAGATCCTTCCTGGGTCATGGCTGCCTAAAATGCATCCAAACATTCAGTGTCTCCACCCTCTTCATGCAGACACTGAACTTTCCTCATAGAGATGCATTGATTCAATTCATCTCTATGAGGAGATGCTGATTGGCCAGGGCTGTTTTTGAATCATGCTGGCTCTGCCCCTGATCTGCCTCCTTGTCCGTCTCAGCCAATCCTATGGGGAAGCATTGTGATTGGATCAGGCTACCACTTCTGATGATGTCAGCAGACTGCTTGTTTTTTCAGAGGCAAGCAGCACGCAGACTTACAGCTTCTGGCTTGAATACAGTAAGATTTTGCTATTTTTATGGAGGCATGAGGGATCCAGGGGGGCTAGATGGTGGTTTTAACACTATAGGGTCAGGAATACATGTTTGTGTTCCAGACCCTATAGTGATCCTTTAATTATTTTGCTCTTCTCTTTACCTTTTCTCTCAGTTTGTTTCTCCCTTCCATATGGATCATGGCCATTGTATTTTGTCCTTACTCTCTCTGTTACTTTTACTTGTAGAACATATTTGCAAATACGACTATAAAATAAGATTCCATTGGGCTTTGATAGCACTGTGTGCATATATAATTTGCACTCTATCATTGTAAGTGCCTCATGTTTCCAGGCCACCCTGGGTAATAGACAATCTTGGTTATGATAATTCTCCTATGTCCCTATTCACCTCGACTCTGGGTTTACTGGCAAAGAGCAAACCAAGCTAGCGTCTCTTGCCCTGAAATACAGAGATATTAGATAATGTTACATAGTGACATTTTGGAAAATGATAGTCTTTTGTCTAAGTTTGTATGAAATTCAGAGGCTCAGAAGATTTTATGTTTGACATAAAATCCATTGCTGAAATGACTCCCACTGAGTTTTTTAATATAATAAATAAAATTTTAAAAAAAACAAAACAAAAAAAACAATGAAGTGTTTTGCATCCTATAGGTAATATTATAAAAGTGAACATTGGTATCTAACTATGATCAATTAATTAGGATCTTAAATGAGCAGATACAAATTGAAAAATTGAGAAAATTATTATTAAGGCTGCACATTGCAAAAGGTACATCATAGAATTTCTACGTAGACATATTCTATAGGACTAAATCAATATAAGTGGCTGAAAGATAAATCACAAGATAGTCTTCAGAAGATAGACAGGACTATTTACGTAATCTAGAATTGATAAGAAATTAATGTGAATTTTAAATTTAAGTACAAACTAAAACCTGATTTTTTCCAGTTTGGCTGTTTCTGTATATCATTTTAGTGAATAACCCATTTAGTGTATGCTTTTGTTTTGTTTTTCTTTAAGAATTTCAATCTGTACATGTGTAAATAAATGGATACTATTTACTGAATGTTAAATCATTTAAAAAATAAATAAATGCATTTAGATCTAGACCATGTCATGTGTGTAAACCATGAAGTAATTTAGACTATTCTGTAGTTTTACCTTTAATAATAGAGTAATAGAGATACTGGCTGATAAAAATATATATATTTTTTTTTTAATTAAATAACTCTCATTTGCTAGAGGCAGTATTAAAAACATTTGGGGAGAGGAAGTTAACTTATGTAAAGAAAATGTTGTAAAGAAATGTTACTTAGTTTTGTAGTTGTTCCATTCTTCTGGTATGAACATACATGATCAGTTGTGTTACCTATTTCAGGGGCATGCCCCAAATTAAAAACTCAAACTATAAATCAGGATAACAGGTTTTCATTGATTCCGGTTAAATCAGGTGTTTATTGTGTGGAGCTGACGTAGAAGATACATGTTTATATAATTTGACACATATTGAGACATTTGATGTAAGGTTATCATTTTTGGATTCATTTTCATACATATGTTATTCAGATGATTATATTGTCTTTTTAATTTGCCACACTTAGCCACATTAAGTATATATATATATATATATATATATATATATATATATATATATATACTTAATTGTCCTGATGAAAGTCTGTGTGTAACAAACTGATAACAAACAAATTCCGCAGCGCTTTACAGTGGGTGGCCGAACAAACATTTAGTTGTAACCAGACAAGTTGGACACACAGGAACAGAGGGGTTGAGGGCCCTGCTCAATGAGCTTACATGCTAGAGGGAGTGGGGTAAAGTGAACAAAAGGTAAGGATAGTATTAGACTAATGACAGTTGCAAGAGAGTAATCAGTTGGGAGCTATTAACGGTTTAATTGATATGCTTTTATGAAGAAGTGGGTTTTTAATGATTTTTTTAAGGAATGGAGACTGGGTGAGCATCTAACGGAGGAGGGAAGTGGGTTCCACAGGAA